ATTGGGGAATGCAGGTCACCCCGAGGTTGTCGTAATACCCTGGAATAAGTCGGAGGAACCAGGGTGTTGAGTTGATGATGGGTGGCAAAGATCGGAAACAGCAGGGGTGGTTCTCGGGGTTCGGGAGACCCAGGGTAAGTGTCAGTGGCTGCGGGGAAGGCACCGAAGTTGGCCAGGGGGCCGTCGGAGTTAGCCGGGGAGGCATCGGAGTTAGCCGAAATAGGCGCGGGGTATGGGCGGAAGTTCGGCGGAGCGTTGGGGGTTTTTTTGGGGGTTCGGGGGGTTGATGGACGATGTGCGGGGTTTTGGGGGATGGGTCGTGACAGTGAGTTCCAGGTGTGGGCAAGTATTGACATTGTCAGTATGTGTCTGAAACATATCAGTTCCAGGCATTTGAAATCAAAGAATGCCCAGACATTGTCCAGAATAGTCACAAGCAGGAACATTGGAAGAGGATGGTTGAGGGACAGGGTGGGAGAACAAAGGAAGTGTGGATGATGGAAGGGCCCTATCATCTCTTTTTGCCTTTGTTGACCTTTGTTGTGTCTAGTATAGTTCTTATCATTCTTGGTGATGCTTCCTTAAGCATTGACATTATTACAGCAATTTGCATAATGAAAGGCCCCTTCAAGTTTCCATTGTTTAGTTGTTTGGCTAATCTATAGGACATTATCTAATATACATAATAAAGATGTGCTCCCAAAATAGAATCTGTCGTCTGCTCTGTCATCTCTCTTGGTGCTCAGTAGTGAACTCATACTCAATTCAAGTCCATTGGGTATGCACAGATGTCCATTGACTGTTCTTTTTGTAACTACATCACCTGTGTTGCAATAAAGACTCTGGACTCATTTGATGGTTTGAATGCTAGCACCAGTAACTTTGAAATTGCAAGCCACAGGATAATTCCTTTCAAATCAGTAGATAGATGTTGCCTCATGATGAGTGAATGAACCACATTCTACACAATACTTACGAATGCTATATATGAATGATTGCTTCTCGGCAAGCAAGGCAGAAGCTGGATTATGAGCCAAACAACTAAACAAGGGAAACTCGAAAGGACCTATCATTGGAGAGAGAATGATGGAGTAGAAAACAAATCCGGTATATTGCTAGGTAGCTTGTAGCACCAAGGAACAAATGTGTTGTCGAGCTTGGAATTGTTGAGGAGCATCGTCCAATAGTCCGAAAATGACCCGGCAACGCTCAAACAATCCCTTAAATACATCCTTGGATCCATCAAAGAGGAGTAAAATCGTCTGACCCCCTACAATAACAGGCGACCTTGTACTCAGTATTGTCTTGTACTCCATATTACTTTCGGAAGGGGATAGTATGAATCCGGACTACATAGAACATACAAAGAACGCAGAGCCATCAGATGTATCCATGTGAAGAGTGGGGCAAGTAGGCTATTATTTGATGACGATATATGCCTTGATTCGATCAATTTCTCTTGTAAAGAGACGCTGTTCTGAGTCAATATGCAACAGTCGGTGTTTCATTCGATGCTTGGTGTTAAGGCGAGTGCCTTCGTGCAGCTTCTGTCAGTGTCAGATGCTCGATACATCGAAATGTTTTGATTGTAATGTATTAATTAGAAGTGCATTCCAGTAAAATATTATATAGCCTGAAAAGAAAGAGAAATATTAGCAGCCATTAACGTACCGGTAGCACACTCACTTTTGGCGCCAAACTGACAATCTTTCCCCACCCCTTCATCCGCAGGTCTGCACTCACAATACCACCTATCCGTGTCCCTAGCATCTCTCTTTTGTTGTTCAATAGCACCGCGGCGTTGTCGTCGAAGCGAATCATGCGCCCGTCGGGTCTACGTACGGCCTTTTTTGTACGAACAATGACGGCACGTCGTACGTCGCCTCTGCGAACCTTAACGGCAGTCACAGAGGCTTGAGCAGCAGAAGACACGGGTCTTGCACGCTTGACAACGCAGACAATCTCGTCGCCGACGGACCCCCACCCGTTGTTTACTTTTTGCTTGAGAATGTTGACGCACTCGACCACGAGGGCGCCAGAGTTATCTATGCACTACTTCCAGTGAGAAAAAACCTGATAAAAGAGACTCTAGGCCATACGTTGAGGGTGGACTTGAGCCCAATCATGGCTTAACGTGGTTGTCGGCGTGAAAAGTGGAGCGGAGTATTTCCCACGAATACTAAACCCCACATTCCCTGTCTCTCCTCTTCCATCTCCTCGTCATCGTGCATTATCGCAATCATGGTCCTCTCGCGTCGTGGAAGTGGTAGCATTACGCTCGCGTCGGGCCAGACGCTGGCCCTGCATCACAGAACACAGGATGAGGAGGATCTGCCGCATGCGACCAAAAAGTAGGCCTCGTTGACGCGGGCAGGATCTACGTTCTGTGGCATATCTAATGGTCTTGATCTCATTCAGGACGATGGCAGATCATCTTAGGAAGTATGAGAGCATGTATGTCGCGCGATACATCAACAATATGTTTACTGATGCGCTGGGACACACTCCAGTTTCACGCTTACTCCTCAACGCATGCGTATGATCGTCGAAGCATTCAAGGAAACCCTCGAACTTGGCCTCGAAAAACCGACACAGGTTGTGGTATGTACACCGTAGTTTTAATTTTCTGGATCATTGTTCTATCATACATGCGATTCGTCATTGGTCGAGCTGATCTTAAGCATCTCGTTCTCGAACGCCCCTTTTGACATCTTGTTGGAATGTCCTCACATGGGCGATGTCATTTTCAGTGAACATAACTTACCATCTATTTCTCAGTCTTTTTTTTGCTGATAGTTGTTCAATTTAATTGCACCCGCGCTAACAATGAGGTGCGCCACAGCCTATGATCCCGACTTACGTGTTCGGATTTCCCACAGGCGAGGAAGTAGGCGACTACCTCGCTGTGGACCTCGGTACGTCCTTCATGGCGCATAGATCATCTCATACGGCAATGCGCTGAACGCTCACAGGCGGGACAAATCTCCGTGTGTGCCTCGTGTCTGTGCAAGGCGAGGGCAAGTTCGAGATCACGCAGACCAAGTACCGCCTTACTGAGGAACAAAAACACGACGACGGTCAAAAACTTTTTGATTTCTGCGCTGAGTGCCTGAAGACGTTCGTTGATACAAATCTTGTTGAGGAGGAAGGCGGATTAAACCTTAAACCCGGAGAGACGCTTCCGCTAGGATTCACAGTAAGCAGTTGTTTATATGAAAGAAATCTCACAGCAATTATGTTGGATAGTTTTCTTATCCTTGCACGTGAGTATCACCATATCTGCATTGGTCAATGCCTGATAAGCTTTCCCAGACAAGAGAAAATCGACCACGGAGTGCTAATCCGTTGGACGAAGGGCTTTGGTGCCGCGAATACGGAGGGTCAAGATGTGGCCGAGATGTTCCGCAAATCGCTTGCGAAATACGTTCGTCCATAACTGCCTCTTGTGGGGACAGTCATCACAATTTGGGATCACAGGAGCTGCCGGTGACAATGACGGCATTAATCAATGACACTACAGGGACACTCATTGCCTCGCATTACGTCAATCCCAAAACGAAGATCGCATGCATCTTCGGCACTGGCTGTAATGCTGCATATATGGAACATGTCAAGGATATTCCAAAGATCAAGAACCTCGCCATCGACGACAGTGCCGACATGGCAATCAATTGCGAATGGGTTTGTGTTCTTGCTGTCTCCTTGTTCCTTCCAATCGACTTTCTATCAACAGGGCGCCTTTGATTCGTTTGAGCACGAACACCTTCCCAGAACCAAGTACGATGTAATTGTTGATGAATCGTCCAATAAGCCAGGAGAGCAGGCATTCGAGGTAATTCGTCACATATGCCCCTACTTCGGTTGACCAACCGAACGAACAGAAACTCATTTCAGGTCGGTACCTTGGTGAGATAATGCGACTCGTTATTTGTGAGCTCATCGATGAGGGTGTGCTGTTCCTTGGCCAAAACACATACAAGCTCGAGAGCCCCTACGTCTTTGAGACTGCCTTCTTGTCTCTCATGGAGAGGTACGTTCTCTCTCTTACCCCTTCGGCCATTCGCCATTGCACTTGACATAATATCCGCTACTTCTTTTCCTTTTCAGTGACCCCACCGACGAGCTCCTCATGATCATCGGCATCTTCTCCCACTTCTTTGCCGTGGAAACGACCCTTGCGGAGCGCCAGTTCTTCCGTGCTCTCGCGATGCTCATAGGACGCCGTGCGGCACGGTTAAGTGCGTGTGGTATTGCCGCCATCGTCAGCAAGATGGGATATTTGGATGAGGGATGCTTGGTTGGAGCGGATGGGTCATTGTACAACGTGCGTTCCTTTCTGAAGGGGTTGTGTAACGTTTGGTTGTTGACGATGTCCATAATTCTTGCTCAGAAATATCCTGGATTTGCGGATCGGATACACGAGGGACTTGTAGATATTTTCGGAGAGAAGGGAAGGTGCGTTATCTCCTCAATGATCTTTTTTCAAAGTGTTCGCTGATCATCACCGCCTCTGCTTTAGGGGTATCATGACCTGCCATGCCGAGGATGGAAGTGGAGTTGGAAGCGCGATCATCGCCGGTACGTTGCTCAGACCGGGCTTGTTTGCTTACATGACATATTTTTTTCAGCTATGACGAAAGCGAGAAAGGAGAGTGGGCTATATCTCGACGTCTAGATTTCGCTTGAAAACTAAATGAGTACCGAAGACCCGAGACAAAAGACGATAATCGCCCGCTGTTCCATTACTACTAATCAAACTGTTGTACGATCTCACCCTGTATATGTTGTTTTACGACACTTGGCTTATCCTCTTTCTGATTGCATGCGTTTTGTATTACTGCTAGTCCTTTGTCACACATCGCTTGTTTGCCGATACGTAGAGATTTTATCAATGCTTTTTCACACTTAAAACAAAATCTTCAAATCGGCAGGTGCGGTCGGGTAACGTTCGTTTTGGAGGTATTCTGGACGGCATTATCAAATACCCTTTTGGGAAACCGGGGCACATGGTGTAGTTGGTTATCACGCCCGCTTAGCATTCCGCTATACATGCGGGCGGTGCCCGGTTCAATTCCGGGTGTGTCCAACTTTTTGGTATTACATACATTCTTCATTCGACGAAGAGCACTGGCCTGGTAAAAAAATCAACGATCCTCTTTCTAACACGACTATCGTGTTGTATAATTTTCTAGCCACGATGATTCGCTCTGTTGAGACATTTTGCAAGTACGCATGCATCAACTAGCGGCCTGCCAGTGAACGGTATAGTTTTAATGCAATCGTAAAACCAACAAGTTAGGACACTCATGCAGGCTATTGTCTTCCGCCTCCTGCACAAGTCTGGCTTACGTTGACCGCAAAACCACTATGATTCCATCAGCCACGCAGACTAGCGACCATGAGACATATGTAATGTCCGTCAACGTCGGCAGAAGATCTTGATTTCAAGCTACTCGAACTCTCCATGTATGTACATATCTATTTTCTCCGCTGGCCTCGAACTTCGATCGCGCGAGAGGCCACTCGTCACGGATCACTCGATTCCCCCTCAGAGCGGTGTACCGACGGATCAGCGACGAGCCTGCTTGTAATCATACGATACATCATGGAAAGATAGACTGCTCTTACAGATGGACGACGGCGCCACCTGTCCCGTTTTCCCGCATTACTGTAAGTTGAGTTGGAGATCATTCAAGGTCAATCCTTTCTTACTGGCATATGGTAACCTTTCAAGTTTGAGACTTAGAGCTGGACCAATTTCCCCCTTTGATCCACTTGTCTGAGCCTGAACGACAAAGAAAAATGTTTCTCAGGTTACTGTCATTGTCTTTTGTGACTTGACTGCTCGGTCTGCTCGTCAGACAAATTTGTTTGATGATCAAAATTTAGTACTACTAATAACAGCGGCGCCGGACCCGAGTCGGCTGAACACTATTTAGCATTTATTTCCAGTGTTGCCGTCTGTAAGGTACAACTACGTTTACCGGTGGATCTTGGATCACACTCCGCCACATTTTCTTTGAAACATATTCTCGCCGACGCCAAGCAAATCAAATACACATTGATCTGTCCTTACTAAAGTATTCCCAAGTCCTTAGATCCGTATTATACAAAAAATCAAATGGCCGCCTGAACGAGAACAATTTCCTCCCTCCAACACTCCTTGGCCTCTTTCCCATTGTCATCAAAACAACAATCCTTCTCACACGAAAACACCATACTCGTCCCCCAATCCATCCCCGATCCATCTGATGCGCCGCCCTTTAGTGCACGCTCTACTGCTTTTCGACGTTCCTCATCTGTGGCTTGTTTCCCAGCATCATTTGGGCGCTTAACAACGTTGATGAGATTCGGCATGAGCTGGCATTCGAAGACACGTTTGCCGTGGCACACTGGGCACGCTTGGATGTTGGTGGGAAAGTAAGTGCGTTTGGGAGTGTTCACGACGGTGAAAGCCCCTTTAGTAACGGGAACGGTGGGCGCTGGCGGGGAGGGGAAGAGCGAAGAAAAGATCTTGTCGGAAGAGAAGGGTAATGGTGTGCCGTTTAGCTCGTATCTAACCCGATTGATGAGTGGGGACTATAAATAATACGGAAGGACTAACCGAACACACTGTTCACCTTCATAAGCAACACGTTTCGTGAACCGTTCGAAGACATAATCCATCTCAAGGGAATCTTCATATGCCTCAGATGCCCATGAGATATCCTTGTCTTTGTCACCCTTGCTACCCTCATTAACCAGGCGATCAGTGATCTGGGTTCCCGGCGGAACTTTCGACTTTAGTTGCGGGGGGAGATATTCAGATACTGTTGATAGATAGAACGGTGGATAGGAGGGTGCGGTTTTCCATGGCGAATCGGTGACGGTCACGGACGCCATCGCCGTAAGAAGCTCATCTTCGGATGATGATTCGTCGTCACTCGCATCGTCGTTTTCGTTGTCGCATTCGTCGTTTTTATTAGGTTTAGGCTCCGCAGAACCTGTTAGGGGAGGAGAGGTATCCCCGAACATCTGGGCTCCAATTCCAAACGTGTTTGTGGCTGGTAGAGCACTCATCTATCACGAGTATGAGCAAAAATCTCCGTTTATACTCATGACGCTGCATACTGAAAATGGATTCTTTTTGGGCATGTGTTGCTGCTGTTCGGCGAGAGCCTTGACTTGGGCTTTTGCCTCCTCGGCAGCACGCTTTTTGGCAAGTTTGATTTCGAGCTTCGCTGCATACTTTTCGTTTCGCCGTAAACCTCTCCACGCTCGCACACTGATATAGATACAATGACAACGTACATGAAAGCCACGTAATGAGTACGATTGGGGAAAAATGGCCGGCAACTTGGCCTCACCTGCCTGATTTGCCCTGGCACGACGGTTTAGCACAACCCCAAACATAGAGGGCGCGGTCCATGGGACTCTCTTCAAACGGACACCACATCTGTACGAGAAGCTCGCAGGGATTTGAACACACTTTGCAATGGGACGAAGAGAAAGGAGGTTCACGCGAAGGAAGAAAAGCCTTTTGCAAAAGCGAATAAGCATGGATATTCAATATCGAAGTACATTGGCGAGATAGCTCGTACAGGATACCCTCCAATACGAGAGACGGCAGCGTCACTGATATCTACATCTGACTGCACGAGGCCGTCTGGGACACCCAGTAAGACAGACGTTTCTACGTCCGAGCCCACGTCATCATCCGAGTCTGACCAGTCGTCTTCATGAGCTGGCAACATCGCACCTACAAAAGAAGCAAGAGATCAGAATGAATCCATGACAGATACAAAAGGAAAAATGATCAGAAAAGCATGAATGGTATAAATTTGGAGGACTCGTCACGTTCGAGTGCAACAGAGAAACTCTGCCACACCGGGTTCAGACTCGTCATCTAGGAATCATCAAACAGAGTGAAAGAGGAAGAGGAGCTAACCTTGGCTGTGTTGAATGAAGGAAAAAGACAGCGGCGTTTGGAATTTTTTAAAGGCGGGGGCCAAACAGATGCAAGCAAATGACTGCCCGATATAGAGAGCGAGGGCTTCTTAGGAGAACGAGGCCTTAACGGAGGATCATCTTAGCCGAAGCTCTGCACCTTTCCTGTCACCACCATCATCCCCGTTGATGTCCTCGACTCCGTATCCCACAGAAGTCCCCACTCTTCCTATCAGACATAAGCGTCGCGGTGTTGCTCTCTCGTGTGCCGAATGCAGGAGGTATGTCCAGCCAAGTCACACCTTACGCGGGACTCACTCGTTGCATTCGATGCTAGGCTTAAACTCAAGTTCGCTCGTCCTCTAAAGCGTTAGATTATACATTCACATCATTATTCTGATAGATGCAGCCGCAACTTCCCATGCACGTATGTCGTTATCGTTCGTCGTTCTTGCGCATAGTAAATATTTATTTTCGGTGTAGTAACTGCGTCAAGAAGGGCTGCTCCGCAATTTGCCCGGAGGGTATGCACAGCTTCGGTTGCCTTCGCAATACGCCACACTCATGCACGCGTGGATAGGTTCACTGACAACTGGCAAGGGAAATCGGCGAGTGCTCTACGGCTCTCACCTCACCTCCTTGGCGCTGATGCCGCACTTCAGCTTTGTATTAGCAAACACCGAAGTTCTCCATGAGAAGATAAATCAGTTATCAAATCGCGTTCGGTCATTAGAAGATGCTCTTGCCCACTCACACGCATTGCACTCTACTTTTACACATCCGTTATTGACTGAAGAACTTCTTCAGATCAAGCGTCCTCTGGAGCGTGAGCGCCTTGATCTCCCTAATGGGAAAGACGAGAAGGGTGACTTGAACGACAACATCGACTCAATGGGTTCTCTGTAGGTCACCGGTACATCACGGCTGTCCATCAGCTCACGTATGTATCTGGTTGTATTCTTGTTATTCCCTATTAGATCAATTTCTCATGGCGGTCGCTCAACCTTTTTTGGTCAAACTGCAAATTCTTGGGTGCGTACTTGAATTTGACACTTAAGGTTACTCAAGACTAACATGGACCTATGATACCTGCAGTATCTTCTTCAGGTATGTCTTTGTCTGATATTCATTCTTCGTGTTTGTATGTGTGTGTATCTAGAACGAGGAGGGCTACGAAGAATCAGAAGATAATTCAGGACATGTATCACTCCAGCCAACTGACCTCCCGTGGCTTAGCTTCGCATTCCCGTTCTCTCCATCAACGATTAAGACGGCAACAACCCTCCGGGGATCCATTGTCAGCTTCCTACCACGGCCAAACATCGCAAGAAGAGTCTGCGATACATATTTCCGGCACGCAGCGTGGATGTTCGTCATGTGCTCCGGTCAATTACGGTTTCCATTTCACACGTTTTCCCCAGGTATACGCCGATACCAGAGAACGACTTCCTCGAAAGTGTATTTCGGCCGATCTACGACCAGGATGGTGCCTTCCAGTCATCTGTCAGTGCTCATAGTCTGGCTATCCTTTTCATGGTTTTAGCTATTGGCACTTTGATGGACCTTGATCGGCCAGCTCACAATCCCGAGTCCATGCAATACTACCAATTGGCACGCGCGGCAATAGCCTTAGACCCTATACTAGAAGAGCAAACGATTCCCGGCATTCAGGCGCTAGTAAATCTCGATATTGGTTGTCTACTAATTTTGAACCTTCTGACAATTTCTCCTTTCCAGCTCCTGATATGTCACTTCATGTTTTTATCGGATATGGGTGGCCCAAGGTGGGTTATCATGGGAATGATTATCAAAATGGCACAAAGCGTCAGTAAATTTGAACTTCTGATTGCTTACGCAGTCTGCTGACCATTCTTTGTCTTTGGAACACAGATCGGACTTCGTAAGCGCCTTTCTATCTTGCCCGATAGACCGGTTCTGTTTTTGGGGGCTGATATATCATGGCTTACAGATCGTGACAGTGGCAAGTGGAAGCTCGATTCAGTCGAGACACAGAAACGACGTGAACTATTTTATGAACTGCTGACATACGACTCGTGGCAGGTAAGGCCTTTGGTCTTGAATAAAGAAGCCCCTTTAAATTCTGTGAAATCCAGAGTCTGACATTTGGACGCCCACCATCATTATCAGCTGTTCACATTG